GAGGAACAAGTTAAAGAAACTATGACAGCTTGGGGGAGAAATTTTGGGCATGGGATTGATTTAGAGAAATGGCAGAAATTGTGGTCTCAAAATTATAAAATGACAAAGTCAACTGCATATAGAGAAAATTTGTATAAGATGTTTTACAGGTGGCATCTACCCCCAACGAGAATTGCAAGAATGTCCAGGAATAAATAGGAAAAGTGTTGGAAATGTCATCAGATACCGGGCTCATATTACCACATGTGGTAGACTTGCATGAAGCCAAAAGATACTGGACTAAAATCCACACAAACACATAGATCTTAAACCAGAGATTTTTTTTATTGGGAATCATACCAGAAATTTACAATAAAGACTTGAAATATTTTATTGTAAACGTTTTACAGCAGCTAGAATTGTATTTGCAAAAAATTGAAAAAATGAAACAATACCAAAACAGGAGGAAGTTATTCGAAAGATAATGGAGTGTGCTGAAATGAGTAAATTGACATTAGAAATTAGAGAACAAGAAGACGAGCAATTTTATAAGATATGGGATTTGTTTTATCAGTGGCTGGAAAAAAAACCTGGAAATGAAAAATGTTTTACTTTACGTTTTAATTGAAGGTGATAAGTGATAATACAATTATGTTGTTAAATAGATTAATAACGATACAATGAAAGACTGACATATATGAATTGAATAATTTAGAATATTTTGTTTTAAAATGAAGGATAAGGATAATAATGAATCTATGTATATCTGATAGAGGATCGGTGATATTATACATAACTCTTAGTAGTGGGCTGGTTTGAATGATAGCTAATGGGCAGTTTAGTGGCCAGTGAATGCCTCCTTCACCCGTTCAAGTAGGCGGAGAAAGAAAGGAGGTGCACATAGCCAAAGGAACTGCCGCTTGCTTCCTTCACATATTTGGGCAGTGGAGAAGGCGGGCAGGCAGGCGGGCGGGCAGAGGGTTGCCCTGCCTGACTGGTGGCTGGCACGACCGAGGTGGCATGTCTTGAGGAGACTTGGTGGGTGCGAAGAGTGCCTGTCTTCTCTGGATGGGCTGGAGCCTGGACGGCCATGCAACAGGTGCATCTGGTGCTTGCGGAGTGAAGATGTGGTACTTGGAAGCAGTGATGCGCTTGTTTTCCAACCAGTTTCCGGCCCTGCAAAGGTTCCAAAAGTGCCTGGGCTCTGGGGCATCCCGCACTGCGCATACCGTTGCTGCCGCCTCCACTCCCAAACGGAACTGTCCGTGTGTGTAGCCAAGTGCAAAGGATCCTGTTGCTTGCTTCCTTCATGCATTCGGGCAGTGGGGCTGCTCTCTTGCATGCCTCCTTTCTTTTTCTGAAGGCATGCGAGAAAGCACCTTTACTGCCTGAATGTGTGAAGGAAGCAAGTGGCAGGCTCCTTTGCCCTCGGCTATGCACACCTCCTTTCGTTCTCCACGTTCCCGAATGAGCGAAGGAGGAGATGGCTAGAAAAGAGAGTGCTGAAGAGGAGCTTCTCGCTACAGGCACAGTCCACCTGCAGCTGTGAATGCCTGCAAACAGCAGCTTCAGGCACCTGCTCACGGCTGACAGTCCTGTTTGGGAGCAGAGGTGGCAGCAGCCTATGGCTGTACCAGTCTGTACTGGCTGAAACCCATCTCTGCAGCATACCCAGGCTTTCAATTAGCTTGAGCAGCTGCTCTTAGTTTCCCGCTCAGTTGCTGCATTTGCTTTGGGTTGACTTTTTTTAAAAAGGGGAATGACTATTTTAAGTTTTCTGCATTGTTTTAGTGATGCTTGGCACTGTCCTTTTTGAAAGCCTCTAGTGATGGAGCCAGGAACTTTCAGAACCTTTGCAGCGCCAGAGCCAGCTGGAAAACAAACCCGCCACTGCTTCCAAGTGCTGCATCTTCACTCCGCAAGCAGCAGACATGCCTATTGTTAGGCCATCTTGTGTTCCATCCCATCTGGGGAAGACAGGTGCCCTTTGCGCCCGCCAAACTTCCCCAAGACGTGCTGCTTTGGTCGTGCCAGCTGCCAGTCAGGCCAGGGCACCCCTCCGCCTGCCCACCCGCCCACCCACCCACCCGCCCACCCGCCCACCAAGCCCTTCATCCTTTGCTTAAACTCTCCGCTAGGTTTGGGGGCTTCTGCCTCTCATGCCTCTCATGCCATGCTTTGCAAGCATCGTGCAAACAGGCGGGGGGAGAGAGAGATCAAGCAATGACTGGAAAGGTGGAGGGAATGAGCAGGGGGGCAGGTCAGGTCAGCAAAAATCTTCAAAGTAAATAAAGACTGGGGGAGGGGGAGGGGGATGAGACTTTGCGTGGATTTTCGTAGAATTAATGTTGTATGCATGGAGAATACCTACCCTCTCCCCCTCATGAAGGACATGCTGAACCACTTGTCCAAGGGCAAGATGTTCACCAAATTGGACTTAAGAGAAGCCTACTATCATATAAAAATTAAAGAGGAAGATAAATGGAAAACTGCCTTCAACTGCCCACCCAGTAGCTTCCAATTTAAAGTCATGCCATTCAGCCTGCAAGTAGCCGCAGCAGTGTTCATGCAGCTAATCAATGAGTTGCTACATGAGCCCCTATATAAAGAGATCCTCATTTACCTGGGTGACACTCTCATATGCAGTGAAACCCTTGAGGAACATGTAAAGCTAATATGCAGGTGCTGAAAAATCTCAGCGCTGCCAAGCTTTATGCAAAGTTGTCAAAGGGTGAATTCTACAAAACTTCCCTAGATTAACCAGACTACAGGATATTCAGTGGAGGGGTAGAAATGGACCCAGGGATAGTAAAAGCAGTGCTAAACTGGCAGTCCCCACATACCCACAAACAGCTTCAGAGCTTCCTGTTGTGGCCTGCCAGCGATCAGCAGAGCTGGCAGCAGATTCAGACAATGAGGAGGTTGGAAGGAACATGGGACAGTCCTGGAGTCTGGCGAAAGCTTGGACAAGGGCTCTGTGTCAGAGGCAGAGAGGAGACCAAGGCCATTTGTTAGTTATTTGCTGCCTCCGGAGCTTCCAGAGTCTGGTATCAGCAAGGCAAAAGAATAGTGGGTGCTGTTTCCAGTTGCACATGCACAGAGCTGCCAGAAGGCAAGAACAATTAAGAAAACAGGTTGGACTTGGGAGCAAGGCTTGATTGGCTCCTCCCATAAGACATAAAAGTGGAGCAAATGGGACATGAGCTTTTGCAGGAAGCAATTAGTTATCTGGTTGGCTCAAACTTAGAAAAGTTCTGTTTGATTCTGTACTAAGTTTGGCCTTGCTCTGCATTTGGCAATTAGGTTTCTGGCCACATTCCGAGGCAGATAAGCTGCGTGTTTATTAACATTCCCCTGAACGACTGTGGCAACTCGAGCAGACATCTGTCGGAACCTTCACAGACTATTTGTGAAGCCTTGTGGACTGTTAATGACCATAATTTACAGCCGTCTAAATAAAAGAAGGTTTTTGGGACTAAGATTGTGATTTATGCTTTCTCAGGAAGCCTAGGTCAGAACACTTCCTGAGATTTGCTAACTTTTACAGGCAATTTATCCCAACATTTGCAGAAGTCACCCTGCCTCTAATAAAGCTGTTGAAGATGAGGTTTCCTCTGACAATGCAAAAGCTGAACCAGCCACTCGCATGGACAATGGGCTGTCAAAAAGACTTTGAAAATGTAAAATGACTATTTGTCCAGGAACCAATCCTTCAGCATCTAGATCCAGAGTGACAGTTTATCATCCAAGCCGATGCCAGCAATGTAGCCATGGCAGCAGTACTCCTATAGAGGGACCCACAAGGACAATTCCTGTCCTGTGCCCATGTGTCCACAAAACTCACTGACACTGAAAGAAGGTGGGCCATTTGGGAGGCCTATGCAGTCCGGTGGGCCCTCCTCTCATGGAAACATTTCCTGGAAGGGGGAAGATGATTTTTGAGATCTGGACTGATCACAAAAACTTCAAGGCTCTGAAAACCCATAGAAAGCTGTCTCCCAAACAGGTTCAATTGGCATAATACTTCAGATGCATCAAATACATCCCAGCAGGAAAAAAAAACATGATGCCCTGTCAGTGGTGGGATTCAGCCAGCTCGCACCACTTCGGGAGAACCGGTTATTAACTTTCTGAGCAGTTTGGTGAACTGATTGTTGAAAGAAATAATTAGGGGAGAGAACCGGTTGTTAAATTATTTGAATCCCACCACTGTGCCCTGTCAAGAAAACCCCAATTTGAAGCTGCAGGTAAGAAGTCGTCCATGCCATCATTCCCCACACATAGCAAGCAGTGCAGGTCATCACCAGAAGCTAATCCAGATGTCCACCCAACCCCAGCTGAGACAAGCTGACAGCTGCACTAAAACTGTGCTTCCCACTGACCCTTGGTTCACAGACAATAAAGATATCCTGATCATAAGGGATGGGCTACCCTGGAAGGAATCCAAACTATATGCCCATGCAAGCATGAGACTGGAGGTGCTGCAATGCAGCCATGACTCAAGGATGGCCAGTTACTTCAGATTCCTGAAAACCCTACATCTAGCTAGGCAGCAATTCTGGTGTCCAAGAATGAAAGTGGATGTGGAGGACTACATGAAGAGCTGTGTCACCTGTGCTGCCATGAAAATTAGACCAGGAAAAACCCCTGGATTCCTTCAACAAGTAGCAAGTCCCAGCAGACCTTGGGAGGAAATTGCAATGGATTTTATTGTCGAGCTCCCGAACAGTAGAGGAAATACAGTGATTTAGACAGTGATAGACTTATTTTCCAAGCAAGCTCACTTCACTGCTCGTTTGGGGTTGCCCTCTGTGAAGAAGCTAGCTAAGATGTTCATCAAACAGATTTACAGACTGCACTGAATAACCCGAAGGGTCATCTCAGACTGAGGAGTCCAGTTCACAGCAAAGTCGTGAGAGCCTGAGAGAATCCTGAGAACCGTTGGATCCAGTGCAGTGGTGGGATTCAGCCAGCTCGCACCTATTAGGGAGAACCGGTTGTTAACTTTATGAGCAGTTCGGAGAACCGGTTGTTGGAAGAAATCTCCTTTTGTTTTTTTCTACTTTACAGGGCTAATCCTGTAAGGAAGGCAGGAAGGAAACATTCTGGTGCTGTTTCTAGCCTAATCTTTATTGCCCTCCTTACAGAAACTGCCTCTCTGGTTAACCCTAATTACATTGTAACAGCTAAGGTGAAGCGCCCATCGACCTGAGTGATATTGAGTTGGCCACACCCAAATAGTCACTGCCTACCCAGCTGGTCATTAGGGCAGAAAAACAGTTGTTAAATTATTTGAATCCCATCACTGATCCAGTGGTATATTCCTCTGAAGTCTGGTACTGGTTCAGTGAGTCTGCTACCTAGCGGCGCTTTGCATGAGGGCATGAAGTATGCTCACACAGCACTAAAAAAAGGAATATTTTGAAGCCTTCTGAGTCTGGGAGCTGGGGCTTGGTGGCACAATCTTGTGCTGGTTCAGCTCCTTTCTCCAAGGCTGATTCCAATAATTATTAATAGGGATGAGAAATCCAGCCCTCAGACTCTACTTTGTGACTTGCCTCAGGGTTTTGTACTCTTTCCATTCCTTTTTAACATCTACAAGAAGCCTCTTGGTGAGATCATCTTTCATCATAGATTGGTGGGTTGAGTTATGATCAGTATGCTGATGATAGTTCTATATCTGTATGTAGATCTGTATACCCAATAGCAATAGCACTTAGACTTATATACCACTTTACAGTGCTTTACAGCCCCCTCTAAACCCAAGTATGTTTTTGCTGTTTTCTCATAATGCTTGGAGGCTGTGGGGACCTGGATGAGGGAATGACTGGCATTGATTGAACTCAGACAAGACCATTTGGGTGAATGGGAGTCCGAGATTTGAGACTTCATCAACTTTAATTCTGGATGGATGGCACTGCCCCAGATAGATCTAGTTTGCAACTTTGGGGTTCTTCTGGACTTGTGACTCTTGCTCAAAGAGTAGCTGGCAATCTTGGATAGGAGTCTCTTTGCATAACTGGATTGTGCACCAGTTAAGACTTTTCTTGGATCAGGAGTTCCTGTGCTTAGTCATCTCATGACTGAACTATCCATGCTGTAATTGAGTGAAGGTAATTGATTGACTAACAGTAGATCCCACCACCACAGACCCACCCTCATCCCACCTTCCCTATCTTTTAATCCGGCTGTTGTACCTAGCAGTGTGTTGTTTCCTATTTGTGTTATTATCTTGCTTCCACCATAACTACCGTATTTTTCAGAGTATAAGACAAACCTATTTCCCTCAAAAAAAAAAAAAAGGCTGGAAATCTGGGTGCGTCTTATGAATACAGCATTTTTTTGCCTCCCGAAACCCCTCCCCTTCTCCAAAATGGCCAGGCATTACCTTATGGAGGCTTTCAGAGTGCTCCTGGAGGCTGGAGAGTGCAAAAATGAGCAAAAAACAGGCCATTTTTTGCTCAATTGTACTCTTTCCCCCAGCGCCCAGAAGCACTCTAAAAGCCTCCATAAGACTATGCATGAAATTTTCTTACCAAAAATGGGCCTGTTTCTGTGAAAAATTGGCCGGTTTTTGCTCATTTGGGGGGGGCTCCTCCAGGAACAATCTGCAAGCCCCCACCAAAGGTTATTCATGCCGTTTTAAAAAAACAGGCCCATTTTCGTGAAAAACTGGCCGTTTTCAGGAGGTTTGCAGAGTGTAAAACTTTTTTTTTCCTTTCAGAAAGCTCTTTAGTTAGAGTTATTGATGAGAATTACATTGATCAAGTGCTGTGCCAGCAGAAACAAAGTCTTAGGTGCTTCAGATTGTCAGCAATTTCCTTCTCTAGCACATGGATAAATACACCTGGAAACATCTACCTACCTACCTACTCTCTCTCTCTCCCTACCTACCTACCTACCTACCTACCTACCTACCTACCTACCTACCTACCTGCTCTCTCTCTCCCCCTACCTACCTACTGTATTTCTCTCTCTTTCTCTCCCTCTCTATCCCTCTTCCCTACTTTTTTAAAAAAAATTGCCTCCTCAAAACCTTGGTGCATTTTATACTTTGAAAAATATGGTAGCTAAGAAGCCTTCAGCCTCCAGAAGCCTTCAGGCTCCACCCTCAGGTCATCAGTGTTAGTTTGGTCTAATCTGCAGCAGAATGCTATGATTTCATAAGTATTAAAATCACCCCAACTTGCTGGCTTCCTGTTCTGAACCGTATAGCACCACCAGCTTTACAAAGACAAAATGCACTAGTAAGAGAATATCCCAAAAAGTATGAACAACTCACTCCTATCAGTGCATGCCAACTTTCTTCATGCTTTAGGCAGAAGACTCAAATCCAAGAAACCCACACTGGTACTCATATTAACATCTGTCCAACAACTTTAACATCAATTCCCAATGAAAAACCAAATGGGTCATTGATCTTCCAGATGTAGGAAGCCATATAAATGATCCTATAAAAAAGGTGCCAGGCTTTGAACCATCCCGTCAACATTGGACAATCCTGAATAGGACTGACACCTCACACACTGTTTGCCAGCACTCTCTGTATAAATGGGGCATACTATAATCTCTTTGATGTGAATAATATCTAATCTAATAATATCAGATCTAATATCTGAATTTTTTAATATAAAAATGCTGCACTTCAATGATTTGGTGGCCTAGACATTGGTATTTGAACATAGATCTTTTTAACATTTATATTTTTTGTGCTTCACTAATCTATGTGAAATGATAATATATATTGCTAGTCCAGGTATGATATGCCATGTGCTAATTAAATAAATATGTTTTTATTTATTTTAATATTATAAGATGCCAAGAGCAACCCTTAGATAAAATGGGTTGCCAATTACTTTTATAAATAAAAAATAACATAAAAAAAAATAAGATAAGATACAGATCATCTGGGAAGAGATGTTCCTAATTAGGTAATTTGGGATGAGAAATGCCAATAGTCTGTTCAACGCAGCTTCAAAGAGATCACTGTCATCACTGTCTGATAAAAAGTCAAGTGAGAGGGGAGCAGAGGTAGTTTGATCCTGATGCTCGCAATGTTTCTCATGACACAATGCTTTATCAGGCAAGACTTCATTAAACATTTCTGAGTTATCAGTCGGAATTCTGGATTTGCTTTCTAAAATTAAGTAGGTGAGCAGGTTTTCTAGTTTGACCTGTAACTCTTGATCCTCCTCTTCACTTTCTGCTATTTTTGTTTTATGATCCACCTGTTGCAAATTGGCTAATGTATCCAGGTTCTCCATCAGGTTTTCAACAGACTGCGTCGTAGTCACAAATTCATCAGGAATTAATTTTCTTAAGCTGGCAAATTGTTTCCTGTTTCCTGCTTTCATTACTTCATCTTGCACAGTTCCCCAAAGTTCCTCTTTCTCTGCTCAGAAAGAAGAAAAAGAAGGGAAAAAAGAAACAGGTAAGCAAATGCTATGAGTGGAACAGGTAACTGAATTTGTTGGATATTAATCAGTTTATTCAATTAGTATTAGATAGGGCTTACAGTTCAATCTGGTATCCATTTACTAATTGGATTAGTTCCAATCATTCTTAAGAAGACATATATCAGATTACACAAGAGATGTTTCATAATCAGTACATTTGGATGATTAGATGATATCCTCCTCCACGTGAAGAGAAGGTGCTAAAAATGTGGGTTGTTTA